TATGACCAAGAAAGCATACTTTTTTTGAATTTGGCAACCACTGTGAACAAATATCTTTGAACATATTGGACACACATAATAACCTTTGGTAACACACCCCGAAAGATTACCATATGCGGGAAAGTCATTTATAGTCAAAAGTAATATGCTCTGAGATTGAAGTATTCTTTCTTATAAGCATCATATGCTTTCACGCCAGTTTCCCATAAGAGTTTTAGATCTGCTATCAATGGTGCCAAGTAGACATCAATATTGTTACCAGTTTGTTTTAGACCTGATATCAATAGAGTCAACATCATGAATTTTCTTATCATGCACAATAAGAGGGTAGATTATAAGTTATTAAGATAACCGGCCAACAGCTATGCTTGGAACTTAATGACTTGTGAGGATTGATACCATCAGTGGACAAGGCTAATCTAAGATTCCATTTTTCTTCTCCGAATTCTTTCCACATTCTATCAACAAGCTTCCAAGAGGGGGAATCGCGAGGATGACTTAGCATACCATTATTAGCTCGACCTTGTGCATGCCAAGTTAAGTCATGTGCCATTTCTGGTGACAAAAACATTCTCCTAATATGGGGATGGGAGGAAAATACCAAAAAACTTTCGAAGGTACATTTTTGGTATTCTCTTTCCAATGAGATGTGCCACAAGTTGGACATCTCGTTATGTTCTTTCCAGAATAGAACACAATCATTTTCACATGCATGAATTTTTTAATATTGTAGACCTACTCCTTTTAGCAATTTCTTGGCATCATATAAGGAGTTAGGTATTGTATTGTTTAATGGTAAGACATCTTTTAGGGAACCTAACAATACTTCAAAACTAGCCTCAGACCACCCAAATTGACTCTTGATATGTTGGAATTTCAATAATCCACTAAGTGCATTATACTTTGACCCTACGTAAAGTTGCTTCTCACATTCTTCAAGAAATAACTTCAATGAATCGAGTTCTTTTTCTACATATCTGAAGGCATCATGTACCATATCTCTTGTATAATCAAAGTCGCGAGGAATAGATTTGTTAGGGCATCTAGAATCAAGCTCGGGCTATCTTTCTCCATGGAAAGACCAAACCTTATAACTTTCATCGAAGCCAAAGGAAAACATATGATAGCGTACGGTCTGAATTGAGTGCTGCCATAAATTGATACAATGTATACAAGGACATCGAATAAGATCATTACTTTGTGCAAACTCTAGAAATGTGTTTACACCCACTTCATATGCATCAGATAACCTATCAGACAAAATCCATGATTTATCCATCGACCATTACTTACCAACCTAAATAATTATAAAGTATTAGCAGAACTACAACTTTATAAATGATGATTGATGAAATATTTATGTAAGATATGAAGAACAAAATGTTTACCCAAATTACCAAGTACAAAGTAACCCTAACAAACTCATTTTGTACTATGTATAGAATAATGTTCAAGGGTTATGACTCATTCATAAAATCTAAAAAACCCAATCGAAACTGAAACAAACCCTAACAATGTTAGATAAATTATTTGAAAACTCAATTGAAAATAAGGAAAGCTACAATGATTCGATTCACAAAAATAAACTCAAATAATTTGATGAGTTGGAGAATGTAAGGTTTGAATTTTATCTTAACTAGAGATCAGTTTATGTGTCACTTCCTTGCCTTTTCTTTTATCCTATTATCCTTTGGGATTTGTGCTCCAGTTTAAGTGTCTTGATGAATTGATGTTGGGTGGTACTTCTGAAATACATGATTTGTCTAATTTTACCTCTTTTGTACATATCACTTGTAACTTTTACTATCCAACTGATGTTGGCAACACAAACTTTCTCTCACTTATTAAATGGCTTGATGAGTGCATATTGTAAGTTTGCATATGAACCTAGTCCACTGTGCCAACTGTTTAACTTTGTGTAATAATTGTCCTTATAGCCTGTATAATCAAAATTTATTATTATTTTTCTCCTTATAAGTATGTTGAAAATAATCCTCAATATGCAGAATCTAGTGTTTATTTGCTAAAATTTCGTCAACTCCAGGTAAGGAATAAATGGTAACAATCTACGGACCGCTTTGTTAAGTGAATGAAATGCATGCATATAAATAGTTGTTTTGACAAAGAACTCGTGGGACCTGTTTTAATTTCAATCCTGAAATTCTAGAATCTTCTTGATGAAGTTGGGGATACTGGAAACACTAGTAAGAATCTTAATGTTCTTTTGTTTGAATTTCAATCCTGAAATTCTATAATTCTTTTTAGTGACCTGATTGTCATACTTACTAATTAACCATCAAATTTTTTTTCATGATCTATGATTAGATACCACTTTGAGTTTTAGTTAATATGAACATTAACAAACACACATTGTTTCTCCCGTTGCAACAGAGAAAAGGTTTTACATACAAATTCATAGGAATATAGCATCAATGTGGTAAATGCAAAAGTTTTTAAGCAACAAATAATCGACATTGGGGTAAACGAATAGGCTTTGGAAACAAGATATGTTTGTAAACATTTCAACAAGCATAAAAAATATATCAAAAGACAATCAAAATTCAACATTTTGGAACCAAAATACATAATCCATCAAAACCCAAAAGCAAAAAGAGTTTAAGAACTAGCACAAGAGTCCACTGAAGTATAAAAACTGAAATAACCCACTTAAAGAACCTATGAAATGAACAAATCAGTAGCGATTAATCAAATAATAGAAAATTATACAAGCAACAAATATCGATTCAATTTCAACATATATGAAGTAAAAACATCAAACCCATTAAATCAAACAAAATAGAAATCAACAAAACCCCAAATTTGCAATAAAAAATAAATGAGATATGAATAAATACCCAATCGAAACTGGAACAAACCCAAATTGAATGGTGGAATAGAGAACGAGGAATACCTATGGAAACCCTTGAATTTTGACTCCCTTCGTTTGCGTTGTGGTGAATGGCAAAACCAGAGGACTGATGCAAAGAGAAAAAGGGAAAAAGAGAAAAAGGAGGAAGCATGCGTGCGTGAATTGATTATCGAGGAAGCCAGACTAAAAGCGGGAAAGGATGAAAATAATGGGGGAAATTAAAAGACGACTTTTACAGATGACACAATTAAAAATGTACTTCGTGTTTTGCTGAATTTTTTGGATTATGACTATTAATATGACATACATTATTGTAAGTCATAAATCGTTCAGATTTTAAAAAAACATGACATTTTTTTATGACACATTTTTTGCAAGTCATGAATTAGTGTGTATCGTTCGTGTGTCGTTAAAGGCTATGTTACACTGATACGGATACAGGAACGATTACGGGACGGGACGGAAAACGAATTTTTAAAATTACAGAGTACGGGGACGGTAAGTGTACGACACATAAAATAATTTTAAAATTATAAATATATATATAAAATCATAAATAAAGTCAAATATCAAGACTCAAACCACAATATTAAGATTAGAACAGTAAAATCCATAAACAAACCACAATATTAAAATGTCAAATTTCAAGATTCAAACTAAAATATTAACTCTAGAATAATAAAATCCATAATGAAATCATAATATTAAAGTATTAAATCTTAAGACTCAAACCATAATATTAAGTCTAGAAAAATATTAAACACAAATAAAATATTGTAACATCCTAATTTAACTCTAATTAAAATCCTAACATTTAAGTATTTTTTAAAATTATAAAATTGGTGTAACACTCTAATTTAAATCTAATTAAAAATCCTAACATTTGAGAATTTTTTTCTAAATCACTAAATTAATTTTTTGTGGTCAATTTGAAAATGATGAAATAAATTGTTTCCATATTTGAAATACCTAGAAAGATCAGAGGTCAACTGACAATTATACCAAAAATTGTTTCAAGTTAAAAGAATCCAGTGAACCCAAAAAGACAGATTTCAAAATAGTGAAAAAAGCTGTCAACTATGGTAAACCAGAGAAGATAGTTGATCTCTTGAACTTAGCTGAAGCGGAAAGTGATGCTGAGACCACGAAGAGGGTTCAAGCTTTGGAGGAATTGAAGCGATTGGTTAAGGATTTGCAAGTGGAAAACGAAGAAAAAAGAGTAGCTTCTAGTAGAGTTAGGCTGCTAACTAAAGAAGACCCAGAAACCAGAGTAACATTGGTTATGCTAGGAACTATTCCTCCATTGGTTGCAATGCTTGATTTCGAGGATTCTGATTCACAGATCGCTGCTCTTTATGCTTTGCTTAATCTAGGAATTAAATGACCCGTGAGTTTCTCAAATTTCCCTCTTTTAAACAAAGTAATCTATTTTGTGTGTGCGTGTTTTGAAGATTTTCTTCTTCTTCTTCTAACATTGCTAATGTGATCTATTCTTTGAAAACCCCTTTTATTGTAGAGCCCTGGGGACGTCCCCGAAACGTCCCCAAATAAGCTCTGATCATCCCTAAATCCGATCAATCGTACCCTGCCACCGTGGTACGTCTCCGGTACGTAATCCAAGCCGTTCCCGTGCCGGAAACGAATACTTGAAATGGGGCTCCTTTGCCATCCCGTGCAACATAGATTAAAGGTATATTTTCTTGTAGTGTCAAAAGCAATGCTAGTTGTGGTACATAATTAGGGTATAATTCAAACCTGAGAACGAGGCATTAAATGAGTTAAAATGCACGCCTCCATGGTCTGGCGGATGACAAGAGATATCTCCGTTGACCGCCTAAGTGTAGAAAGAAAGATCCGTGTCATCGAGTAATATAATTTATTCTCCACAAACCTAGTTTCAATCAATTATATCATGCATAAATACTCTGTCATTTTAACATCTCCGTATGAAAGACATCACTCTTGATACTACTAGAACGCTTTTGAAAACACGGAAACGGACATAATTTATGTGTATTGATCTAATGTTCCACAAACAAATCAGATTCTATATTCCTTCTATCGGATTGAACACACTGTAGTCTTACTTTATCATCATTATAAGAAATAGAAAATCGAAAAATAGTTCACCTGTCACCCTTTGGTTTCCTCATTCGATCTCCGGTACTAAAATTCGCCATACTGAATTCACAGCGCACCTGATACCCATCACATATATAAACCCAGAGATTGTTTAAAGTCACAACAACAACAATTAGACATACAACTTGAAGAACATTACCAGTGCCTGGTCATTAAGTTGTTGGCTCCTATTTTGCACCTGGAAAACAGAGTTACATTCATCATCGACAACAAACCAACAACTAAACAAAAACAGATAATCAAATTCAGAAAAAAAAAAAAAGAAATCTCAATGTGAAGATTCCCATGGAAACCATTAAATCAAAAGGTTACCTCTCTAGGACCATACACTGCTGCAATGACTTTGGTGTTGCCCATCTCAAAAACAGCAGAACTGTGAATATTAAAATAAGAAAAAAAAGAGGAAAAAAAAAGGTGGGAATTATAGATATTGGAAATATGGAGCTTAGGAAAACAAGTTATGATTTCGGCGCCTACCCATTAGCTTTGGCTACGGTAGACATACACAAAGTCCGATAAAAAATTGATCCGGATCATATAAAAATTGATCCGAATCTGATAAAAATTAATCTGGTTTTTTCACCTACCCAAAAAATCAGATTTTAAAAAAACCGGTTTGGAGGGTCGGATGGTGTAAACGGTGTAACCAGTTTCGGTTTGAAAAAAATCGGTTTTTTAAAAAAATCGGATATAAAAAAACCGGTGTTGTGTAATAAGATTTAAAAAAGTTGTAATCAACTAAATACATCTCCAACCTAATTATACTGTTTAGGATGGTAAAATGATGATTTTTTTAGAAAAAACAGTCACAAAAATCCAACAACGGCTATATTAACTGCTAGTTTTTAAAATTCCAGACTGGATTTTTTTCGGATAAAAACCAGTTTTTAATCCGGTAAAAAAACCGATCATCCAATTTTTTCCCAAACCGGTTATACTATCCAGTTTTTAAATATCCGATCTGATTTTTAAAAAAATCGATTTTTCTCAAATCTAATTTCATATATTTTTTACGCAAAATCAGATATTCGAATTTTTTTTGTGTACCTCTAGGCTATTGTACCGATCTCTGCACGAAGTTGTCTCATCTGAGAAGGAGAAAACCAATGATAAAAAGGGTAATAAATTAGAAGAAAAATGAAGGGATGAAAGGAAAGATTATTTCCATGGGACGGCGACCGTCCATTCGGAGACCTTCGGGGCTCACGTATTCTGTCTTCGACATTAGAGACTTCCTACAACAACCCAAGTGCTGATTTTTTAGGGAAAACGGACTAAAACCTTCAGGGGTGTTTGGTTCAAGGATTGTGGGATTCCCATGGGATGGGAATCCCACATTCCCATGTTTGGTTGGTCGGGAATCTCTTTCCCGGTAATGTTTTATTACCAATAGTAGATTTTTTGAGGTATATTATCGGGAATGTCATTACCTCCCTTCCCTTAGGTATTGTAACATTACCGGCGTTTTGGACTAAAATACCTTAATTTTTTATTTTATTTTTAAAATATCATTCTTCTGTCATTGAATAATAAAAATTCTACGAATGTTAAATTACAAATTTATCCTTAAATTATTTTAGATTTACAAAAAAAATCTATAATTAAAATTTATATAAAGTTCAGGGGTTAAAATTTTTTTTACCCTTTCATTAAACCTTTTTTATATTTTTAATTTTGTAAAAAAATTATATAATATTATGAATTTAATTTTTTAAAGAAAATATATAAATATTTTACAATTTGTAATATTATACAAATATATAATAAGGACAATTTAGTCAAATATACATTCCAATAATCTTTTATTCCTTTAACCAAACACGGTAATCTTACATTCCTACTAAACCAACCAAACACAAAATACAACATTCCAGTAATCCTATTCCCTGTAATCTTTTGTTCCCACTGGTAATCTTATATTCCGTGAACCAAACGCACCCTCAGGTTTTTACTTATCAGTGCGTTAGTGGCTCACTGGAACTAGCTTTGCGGGTTTGGGCCTAGTCTATCCTTGATTCCAGTTAGACGTATAAACCAGCCAGTGGAGTTCGAGTTTGAAATATGAAGGTTAATTTATGAGATTATTATAATATTTTGTATTTTATATCCAAATAAAAAGAATCAATTAAGATTATCTTTTAATAGAGAAAATCCCATGAAAGAACTGCAAAAGCATTGAGGAGGGAGGAGAGAAAATCCCATGAAATAACTGAGACCTCCTCAAACATGCTGCTCTGGGCTAAGGCCCATATGATATATGTATTGGGTCGGGCCTAGTCGAGATATCTAAAGGAGAGACCTTGATTTTCGAGTAGAATTACAGTAGAATCACACGTCATAGCGGAGTCATGGGGCTGTTCTACGTCATGGTTGTGGACAAATTGCCCAAGCCGATACACAACCGGCACAGTGTTGTTGGAGTAAGTTTCCAAACTCCCAAATGGTAAAAGTTGATGCAAAAAAATCTATTACTCTAACCAAATTCATCAATCATTATTCTCAAAAATATTGTTCAGGAACATTACGCAAACATTTCATCGACATCTTATTGCATGACTATGTCGTAACCTGATGCAGGCGCATGATACTACAACGCTGCTAATGATCCTTTGGGCCGTGGTAGCTATGGTCGGTCTGGTGGCTGCTATTGCTGTCGCCATTAACTATCGGTTTAAGCGTGAGAGAAGCGACGGCTACGAAGTAATTCGGATATGAATCCGTATTGCATCTAAGAACTCCAGTAGCTATGGATTAAATGGAAGCCAGTTTTGTAGATCAATAATAAAGTTTTGGATAATGTGGGAATGACGACCATTTTGCGAATCGTAGAAGTGTGCAGCGGTTTGAAGTATTACATCGAGTTCCATTTTATATGTTGTGTTCAAGTTTCAATCCATCACCGCTGTAATATTCCAGTTATTTTGATAATTTATTATGTAGTTTTAAAACTGGATTCTTTTGTACTTTAAAAGTGTATAATTTAATTTAAATGTAGATTTATTTATTATTATTAGGATGATTCTTTCAGGCTCGACAAACAACGATACTATTAACGATGAATACCATTAATTTAATTTATAAAATTTTAAAACTATAAAGTACTCAACTTATAATTATAAATCAGTTAAAATTTTAAACCTAAATTATTTAAGGTAAATTATGCATTTAGTACCTAAAGTTTCACTTCTGATACGTTTTGATACCTGGATTTTCACTTTTTACAAAACTATGTTTAATGTTTAGTTTTTGTTTTATTACCCATTTGTTAAAAACGTAACGACATAACGTGATTTTTTTAAATTAACACATCAATAATCAAATATATTTTTATTATTTTATTCAACCAATAGTGTCACCTCCCTATGAAATAAAACCAACAAAATTTGTAAATGGCTAAGGAATTGAACCTGTGCCTCCAAGTAATTCAATGTAGGGTTAGCCGTTAGGCTAATTAGCAGGTTAATATTCAACAAATCACCACAACCTATATTTAATTATTTTATATTACCACCACAAAACAAGAATTTTTAATTAAATACTAAATTATTAAATTATTTGAAAATACAAAACATTTCTTATTATAATTACTTAATTAAAAATTAAATTATTTTAACTTTATTTTAGAATAAAAATAATAAAATATATGTTTTTTTTAAAAAATCAATATTAAACTTTTAAAAAATTTAAATTTAAAAATTTATTTATAATCATATATAATTAAAATTAAATAAATATTAAAAATTATTTTTATCATATATAATTTAAAATTTTATATTTATTTAATTGATTTTAAAAATATAATATTTATGTAATTAAAAATAGTGTTTATTTTAATGATTTAATATTTTATCTAGTTTATACTAAAAATGTTTTATATTTTAAAATAATTTAGTACTTGATTAAACAATTATATAAATTAAATATAAAATTGATTTTATAGAGTACTTTAATGATTTGTACACTATTTTTGAGAAGTCCTAAGTTTGAGTTCTAATTTTAATTAAAATATCTTTTTTTGTAGTGGTAATAGAGTATAAATTAATATATTTTATGGTGAGTAAGCAACAATTACCTTTCTTAGCCGGTGGCCAAGCCTTTCCTTACCTTGAAAAGGTTGTGGATTCAATTCCTATACTAAGCACAATTATGTTAATTTTATTTTAATAGGGTGGTGACATGTATCACCACCCTGGCTGAATAAATTAATAAAAATATTATTTGATTGTTGATGTGGCAATTTAAAATAAAATTATCACATTATGCCATGTCAGCCATCCCGCTAAGTTTTACGACGAATATAAAAAAATGAAATAAAAAATAAACGTTAGGTATGATTTTGTAAAAATTAAAAGTTCAGGTACTAAAACGTACCAAAAGTGAAACTTTAGGTATTAAATGCATAATTTGCCCTATAAAAGTAATGTAATTAATATTTCATTTTAAATAATTTATATTTAGATTTTTAACTAATTTATAATTACTTGTTGAGTACTTTATAATTTTAAAGTTTTATAAATTAAATTAATATTGTTTATCGTTAGCGGTCGAGCGTTATAGAATTTTCCTTCTTATTAAAAAAGAGTTGGAGAATAACCTTAGAAGTGTATAAATCAATGTGATATTGGAATATAACAAATCTTAAAGCAATCTAACAAAATCTCTCTTGCAGTTACAAAAGCTTCTGGGCGGTTATCACAAGCTCATCAAGGGCAGCATTGGTGGTTTCCTCCGACCACTTTCCTGCCCATTTTATTTTATTTTGCTCGATTTCGTTAATTTTAAAATAATATTTTAATGTATTTAAAATAATATTTTATCTTGGTTTTATTCTAGTAAAGAGTATTATGACTAATGGTGTTTTTGACTGTCTGTGTAAGTTTCTTTCATTGGTCTTATTCTTGGTCTATGGTTTTTCGGGATTTCATGTCTGCTTGCTTTTCTGATGCCTCATTCCTTTGTTCATTTGTATATCGCATTTTGTTGGTTCTCAGACGTATGTCTCAAACGAGATTGCGGGGAAGTCAGAGTGACTATCTGTGTCTGATGCTTTGGGAAGTCAGAGTGACTATCTGTGTATGTCGTTGGCTCAATGGTTCATACTCTCAGAGGCGGGGCTAGGAGGGGTGTAATGTGCGCTACGGAACAGGGCCTCGGAATAGCAAGGGTCCCAAAAAATTGGATTTATTACTATTGTTACAATAAAAAAGCAAACAAAATATTATGGATCAACGGTAAAAAAATTTAGCCCAAAACCACAGAACCTGCTGTCAAATCTTGTTGAAATCATATGGAAAATACCAAAAAATTGAGATTTAAGGGCTCTTTTTAAGAATTTGCACAGGGACTCCAACGTCCTAGCCCCGGCCCTGCATACTCTTGCTTATCAAGTTGTTAATGATCGATCATCGCTATATTTTATTTATAATAGACATGAATATATTTATCTTGTAGGCATGTAATAAAACGTTATTGATGATGTTTTATTTGACTAATGAATA